CAATTAACATATATTATTTCAGTAAGGTGGAGATTTGTTCAACTCATGTTCAATATTATAAAATATATATCATTGTGAATATAACACCTATAAAATATAAAATTATCAGATGATTTTAAATTAAATTGTAAGCAAATAGTTCGATATTCTAGAATGAAATGGCTGCCGATGACTTCTTGATAATGATTTCGCCTGTGATAAATCGATAAAACGCCATCGAAGCCATCGATATGCACTAGTTCTGGATGTAAAGTGGAAAATTATAGTATAACTTATATTGCTGATGACTCGTAAATGGACAAAATATATTTTATTCGAATGGATGTTAGTTTTTATGATATTTCTATTATACTATATATGTCAAATCATTGTATAATATATATATAAGATAAATAGCCCGAATTTTTTTTTATAAAAAAGTGTTTTTTCAAATTTAATAATAAATATTTTATTCTGCTTATAAATCATATTGTCTTGTAATATTTGATAAAATTATCACTGAATTCTTAATTAGTTTTTTTAAAAATATCAATTTTGATTTATTGGACTTGAAAATATTTTATTTATATTATAAATCATATTATCATTTAGTGTTTATCAAAATTATGGTTCTTCGTTTTGTAGCTATATTTTGAATGACAATAGAAAAAAAAATACTAGAAACTAAATATGTATTTAATTTTATAAGTAAAAATTCACATAATGATAATATATTTGTGAAGTTTATTTGAAGAAACGATTTTTATTAATTCAATTTTCATTATAGCATTATTTAGGTGAAGTGCTCTCAAATTGTGAGCCAGACAAATGTTTAATGGCTGCAATAAAGGAACATAGCTCAGGTGCGTTTGCATTGAATATTTATCGTTTTGATTTCACAAAACATCGTTGCGTTTAATCAAAAATTTGATTAACTTAATAAATTTAAAGATTAAGCGATCTCATTTTAACACAATCGGTAAATTCAATACGTCTATGAAACAAAGCCATAATTTCTCGTAGTATAAAATATTTGATAAAATTTTATCGCTTACAGAGGTGGAATTAAAGGGTGAGAGATATATAGATAGACTATATATCTCTCACCCTTTAATTCCCTATACAAAGTTCGAAAACTTGGGTGCAATCAGATCTGATTGCACCCAAGTTTTCGAACTTCATGTAAAGAATTGCTTGCTATGATGTACTGATCATGAATCAGTACATCATAGCAAGCAATTCTTCATCTTAAATATATTTTTCTTAATCAATACATAACTTGTTCGCAATTTGGTTTTAGACGCTATATTTAAAAAAAAAAAAAAAAAAAAAAAAAAAAAAAAAAAAAAAAAAAAAAAAAAAAAAAAAAAAAAAAGGTAGTGGGGCTTCCAGGCACTTCGTGCCTTCTAGCCCCGAAGATGTTTAGTATAAATGAAGTTTTTATTCGGAAAATTGTTAGTCTTCTTGGTCGAAAACATTATATAATGTTTCACTTTTCACAAATTATATATGTTTTCATGTTTTGTCAAGACTTCTTCGTAAATGTTTTGTCAAGACTTCTTCGTAAAATCAGACAAAAATAATGTTTAGGGTAGAAGGTTAGATATAACCTCTTTTCTAACCTCTTTTCTACCCTCTTGAATTTGTCAAGATTTCTTCGTAAATGTTTTGTCAAGACTTCTTCGTAAAGACTTTGTCAAGACTTCTTCGTAAAGACTTTGTTGAGATTTCTTCATGAAATTTACACCAAAAATAATGTTTAGGGTAGAAGGTTAGATATAACCTCTTTTCTAACCTCTTTTCTACCCTCTTGAATTTTCATGAAATTTACACCAAAAATAATGTTTAGGGTAGAAGGTTAGATATAACCTCTTTTCTAACCTCTTTTCTACCCTCTTGAATTTTCATGAAATTTACACCAAAAATATATTTTAGGTGAAGAGGTGAGATATAACCTGTTTTTTCACCTAATTTTTCACCTCTTGAATTTTCATGAAATTTACACCAAAAATATACTACTAGGGTCATTTACGAAGAAATCTCAACAAAGTCTTTACGAAGAAATCTCAACAAAACATAGACAAGAAAGTTCATGAGAAATTAGATGAAGAAGTCTTAACAAAGTCTTTACGAAGAAATTCATGAAAATTCAAGAGGGTAGAAAAGAGGTTAGAAAAGAGGTTATATCTAACCTTCTACCCTAAAATATATTTTTGGGTCATTTACACTCATTTACGAAGAAATCTCAACAAAGTCTTTACGAAGAAGTCACAATAAAACATCTGTCAAAAACCGCTTTTTAACTTCACTTAAAATGCCACGTAAGCTACGTAAGAATATACGTAAGAGGAAGAGAGCATTGAAACATCCAATAGTAAGACTGACACCACAACAACAGTTGCAACAACAAATGCTGAATGACCCCACTATGTTGCAACAAATGTCAAGCAATCCTATGCTTTTAAACCGAGTTGTTGGTGCACAGAGTGGAGGTTTAAGAGCGGCACTTTTAGCGAAAATGGCAGGCTATGGTGGAGCTGCAGACGGAACAGCCTATAACCCTCAAAGTCAAATGAATTTGAGTTCACTCAAAAATCAAATATCAGATGTCAAAAAGTCAAACATAGACATACAGAAGCAAATAAGTGAAAACGAAAAGAAACTAGAATATGACAGACACACAAAGAAACTCAATGAGTTAAACGTAGAGAAAAAGAAGAAAGAAGAACAACTGAAAGAACTAAGTACAGAGGAATATGCGAAAAAAGTGTCAGAAAAAGCAGCAGAAGTAGCAAAAATGGAACAAGATGTCATAAATTTGAAAAACCATACTACTCAATATAAAGTACTGAAAGATGAAGAAATAAAACAAAAAGCCCTGAAGACATATATGGATAGCGATGAGTATAAAAAAGAAGTTGAAGCAACTGTAAAGGCAGAAAAACTTTTACAGTTGCAAAACCAAACCGTACAGTATGAAAACTTAGCACAAGAAAGTAAAAATAACGACGCGGCTATGCAAAAGGCAATGAAAAGCTCAGAATATATAAAAGCTAACAATGACTGGTTAGATGCCCAAGCCAACGCTAAAGCAGCCCAACTCATAGGGTCAATAAGGACAAAAATACAAGCGGATGAAGATAGTTCAAATGAAGCTTTAACAAATGCTGACTTTAAGAACGCTTTCGAAGCTCTTCATAGTAAGGTGAAACAAGTGAACGACTTCTCATCTGGAAAGAAACTGAAGTCTGAAGGTTTCGACAAAGAGTTAAAAGAAGTAGCACAAAATATGACGAAAATAACAGATGCAGCAACGAGACAGGCAGTTCAAAGTGCCTATGACGCCGTTAGAGCAACTGTTGTGAAAAGTCAAGAAAAAGAGTTACAACAGACCAAAACAGACCTAGTAAATGCTTTCTTAAGAACGAAAAGTCAGGTAGGACATTACGCTGCAGATGGAACATATGTGCCAGCTGGTGGAACTTATATACCACCAAACCCTCCAAGAGAAGCACCTGCACCAGGACTACCTAAAACATTTACATCGTCACATGGACACAGACACAGGCATGCACCAAAACCAACACAACAACAACAACAACCAGCACAACAACCAACACAACAACCAGCACAGCAACCAACAGTTCAAAACCCTGCACAACAACAACCACAAACAGAGCAAGGACATAAAAGAAGTAGAGAACAAGGAAACCAAGAATTCTTAAAAATGCTGAAGGAAGACTATGGTTACCCAGATACTCTTGACTTTAGTGACAGATATAAAGAAGCTATTAGAAAGTTCAAGGAAGGAAATACTGACCCGAACCTATTTAGCTTTATGGCTCAGCACCAAATGGGATATAATTTCAAACCTGGAAAATACAAGCTCGCTAAGGGATATGATTTAATAGCATATCGTCCAAATGACATGACTGAATTTACTCCGAGATATTTGGTGTCAGAGCTAAATGACAATACAACTCTCTTCATGAAACGCGTAAAAAATAGAGACGGAACGAAAGAAGAAAGGTTTATGAGTCCGGATGACTTAGATAGGGAACTTGTTAAAAACGGTCTCGGAATATATGAAATGCCAGCAGATGAGGTACAAGAAACTCCACAGGAAGAAATAGTTCAGATACAACCAGACATGGAAGAAATAGTTCAGCAACAACAGCTAGAAGAGCCTGAAGGAAACGAACAAGTCACTCCTTTGGAAACTAACTTCACAGAACTAGATGAAGATTTGGAACAGCCGAAAAATCTTGACCCTCAACAAGAGTATGCGGAGAATATGGAATATTTCCAAGAGTCTAAAAAAAATTCGGCTGACATAGTAGAAGAATATCGAAAAATGTTTGCCGACATACAAAAGACTCCAACATCAGATGAAAATATCCAGCATAGAATGGAAGAACTGAAAAAAAATGTACACAAATACAACAACCCTTTTTACTTACGAGCATTTAACGTTCAATCTTCGGATGAACTCGGTGAAGATAAAAGGTTAAATTTCAAGAAAACATATAGAAATGAAACATTGTTTAAAGTTCATTCAGAACCTAACCAAGATGGAAACAAACCTACTTTTGTTTCTGCAGACGATGGAACTACAATGAGATGGGGTCATAAAGCTAATCCGGATAGGTGGTTCATAAACTTACAACCTCAATTCCAAGAAGTTGTAGACGCAATGGAAGTCAATGGTGAACCAGATATAGCTGGTATTTTCAGCGCGGCTTTAATGCCATTGAAAGATATGAAAGATGCAGATATTTTGGACCAGTATGAAATGAACATGGCTGATGGAAATATAACACCTGACGTTCTAGAACATTTATCTCAAAGAACTACACAGAACCATAAAGATGGTATATTTGGTGAAGAGTTTAGAAAGAAAGTTAGGGAGAGAGAAGGAAGAGAACCTATTGTACATGACCTTGCAAATGAAAGTTTACAAAATGTCATAAAAACTTACTTTGCAGACAATGAACTGAGAAGGGATGAATATTTAAGAAAACTCAAATGGACAGTACCAAATGAAATGTTAGTATTGAAAAACATGTTCCTTGACAAAATAAAACCAACTACAGAAATAAATGACGAAAGACTGAAAGATTGGGTAGAAGCTTTCCCATTCACAAAAGATATTGTTGGTAACATGGAAAGAAAACCAGAATGGCTACAAAAACATATATTTGGAAACGAGCTTATTCCATATGGACAAGCTCTGTTTGAAGAGCTTGAACCAGAAACTCAGGAAAGAGTCATGCAAACAATACGCGAAGACTCAAATACAGACTATGACAAACTCTTTCTAGGATATAGGTTACCTGAGATGGGCGACCAGAGCCAAAAGGCAAAAAGGACATGGGAAATTTGCAACATACTAGATGAACATAATGCAAAGATGCAACAACTTCAAGCAGAGGGCAATGAAGGAAAAAGAAGAGTTAAAAACTCAGTCAGGAAGAAAGTAAAGCTTGGTCGGAGTGGGTTCTATTATGACATATAAATCCAACTATTCTATATTTTTACTCATATGAAATGTACGCCGCTCAGAATATAACGCCAACAGTTTTGGATGCATGAATGGAAATGTTTCCGAATGGTATAACGAATGCGACAATGCCATTAGAAGGTCAGAAATAGTTCCTGGAACTTACGAATATACAACTGCTGTTTCTTATGGAAACGTAGGTGAGTTTGGAGAAGGTTCTTCAACAACAGTAGATATTGCTTGCGACAGGTTTCATATAATTTCTATTGACAACTCTTTCTTATACGTGGAACAAGACATTGAAATAAAACCTTCTGCCAAGTTGTCTGACAAGAAAGGCTGCAATGGAATTTTCTATGTCGGATACCAATATGCTCCAGAAGTTTTCATGGGATATAAGATATATTCTAACTCTGACTTAGTTCAAACAGTAACATGGGCAAACTATGAATGGTTCGCTTTGAGAAACTCAGTACAACCACAAGCTAGAGAACAAACAGACCAGTATGCAACTATTGAGAAAATAAGAAGACTTGACCCTAACGTTCCAGGAGTTTATGTTAACCTTTCTGGACAAACTGCAGCAGCAGTAACCAAAGTAAAACTGAAACTTAGAGTTCCTTTGTCATCTTTCCTCATCTTCAGGTTTTTAAGATACTTGCCAAACTGGGCAGGAAAAATTTCTATCGAACTTACTCCAAGCAAAAATAACTTAGTCATTGCACCAACACAAGACCCATTCACTCTTACAGACGTAAAGGGAGCAAATCAAACGTCATTCGCCGAATTTTGCAAAGACAAAGTTGACTTAGACTTTGGTTTCTCAAACCTCAACACTGATGTAAACTACTACTTCAATGCTGCTGGAACTGCTTGGGACCCAGTTAAGTTCACATGCGAAAAGTTTGAATGCAAGAGAATAGAAAGCAGACTTGCAGTCTATATGTTGGACCCAGATATTTCAAATGCTTTAGCTGCCAAATATATTGCAGTTCCACTTATGTTCCCTATACACCAAATATCTGTCAAAGACTTTGCAGGTGAAGTTGGAAACCAAAGTGCTGACCCAGGTGCAAGAACAGATATTGCTTTAACAACTGCAATGAAACATGCAGATACTATGTTTGTACTGTTCAGACGAACTATAAATGACTATTCTTGCTTCTACAACCCTGGTATTAAATACCATATAAACATAGATGGCAAATACTATCCAAGAGAAGAATATTCTACAGTTGAGGATATGAGGTCATACAACTTGACATTAGATGCTATGAACTTTAACAACAACTTCACAACAACCATTAACCCTGAAATGCAAAGTTCTATTATGCCATATGTGAAAGTATGGACTCATACAGGAGGTCAAAAAACTCAATATACAAATGGAGACCGTTCAAACTTTTGGCTTGGCATTCCATTTGCTGACTCAGAAGACTTTATGGGTGGTATTTCAACTGTTGGTACAGTTCAAATACAATATACTGGTGACAGAGACGGTCCAAATGAATTGAAAGCAAAGAAGTTTACAAAACCAATAGCACTTTTCACAGAAGATGCTCTTTTGAAGATTCGTTCGATGAAACCTGCTGGGGCTCCTCAGATTGGCATAACGACAGCTTCCATCGAGCAGATTTTGGCAGCAGGTCAGTAAGTTGTTCTTGAACTGACTTCTCTCCGTCAAATATTGACAGTACGCCAGTTTTGACATAAATTGTATTATAAACTTACCTTAGAAATATCTGTAAGTTTTGTTGTTATATTTTTGTCTGCTTCAAGAACTTTCACCATTTCAGTTATACCAACTTTCTTTGCTTTATGAAAATATTTTGGTTCAGCAAAGACTGCTATTCTATAACATTTTCCATTGTTTGTATAAAGAACTACTCTGTCAATGAACTTGTATTGTTTGTGTGTGTAAACTTTGTTTTGCTTCAATTCGAAGAGATACTCAAATACGTCCATCTTTTATTCTAAGTAAAATGTCATTTCCGAAAAATAGAAGCGTAAGTGTTTCAAAAGGTTTAATGGCGGTGGCAGATGTGAAGTTAAATTCACCAACTCAAACAAACAGTCAAAGTGTTGTTGTCAATGTCAAAGAAAGAGATGTTGAAGTGGGGAAACCATACGAAGACGAAGATGGTATAACAATAGTTCCTGTAAAAGAACAACCAACATATCCTGAAGTTAGCAGAGACTTAAGTTCTGTTGCAGATATTCGAAACGACTACCAACAACTTAAAGACAAACTTAAAACTCAGGAGAAGATTTGTCAGGCTTTGGGTATAATGTTAAACTTGGTCGAACACAACCCTGTAAAAGTGAACTCATATGTCATCGCACCTCATGAAGTTTTGAAAGAACTATTGAAACTTTTGACAGAGGCAGACGATATAAACATCAAAGAAATAGAACCCGACGTTAGTTGCTGTGGTGTTTCATATAATGTCATTGACAAGATATACGTTATGAAAGGAGGTGAAACGTTGAACTTAAAGTATAGTTTCCCAGACGTTATAAAAATATTTGACGACCACAACATTTCATTAAAATTTACTTGCTAAGTAAATGGCAGAAGACATAGTGGTTTATACTATTACGACTAAAAACCCTGAGTCATATAATTCTATAACAACAAACTTACAAAGTCCTCAAGGACGATATTGTAAACTAACCTTAAACACGATGACGACTAAAGCCTGTTTTGCTCTTTTGACACCAGAAGACTTTGTTGTTGTGAATGGTAAAAAATACTTCTTTGAAGATACTTACTCAGATATACCACCAACAGGTTTTGTTGACTTATTTAATACTTTAAGACGGATGTAACATGTGCTGCAACTAGAGCAGGTTTCATTATGTTTGGATGTCCGACTGAGTTTAGTATAAACGATATGAGCTATAATACAAAACTTATATCTGGTTTTTACTACCAACAGTTTCCTATAACAGGAAAAGGTGTCATACAAGGAAGTCTGTTCCATTGACTTTAAGTACACCTATTTATATATTGTTTCAAACTTAGGTTCAAAGTGTTATTCGAATGTCGACAGAAACTACTATGACCAAAAGATACTCATGCGTATAAACAATACTTTCTCTGCTGGTTTGCCTATTGTTCATTCGAATGCAGAGTTTTCAGCTTTAGTAACTCAAACACTTTAGCAAACATAAACTTAACCTTAGTTGACGCAAACTTTGTTCCTGTAAAACTTTTATGTCCTATGTATTTGTCAATGACGGCAGAAAGTTTCGAATTGGAAGATGCAACTGGTGAAAGTATTGTATTACAAGAACAACTTCAACAACAAATAGCTCAAGAACAACAAATGGAACAAATGCAACAACAAATAGCTCAAGAATAAAAAAAATATTTTTTTTATTTTTATAAAAATGTACAGAATAGACGTTTCAGATTTTTATGACTTCCAAGCGTTCAGAAATATGTGTCCATTTAGAGACTATAACAAAAGCAGTCGAGAATTTGAAACGTTTAGTCATTTATGTCGACTCTGCCCCAGAATGTTATGTCATGAAAGAATGGGATGTTGTCTTTAACAAACCAAGAGCGACAATAGTTTCAGAACAAGAATGTAGACAGAAACTTAAGAAAATAAAAGTTGTACAGGTTGGCATGAAGATGTTAGATGCTTGGGATATCTTATTGTCAAAGTTAGAAGATTTTTCAGTTCGAGGTATAAAGTTCTATACACCTTCTCCAAACTTCTATTCTATCTTCACTGGATATAAATATGAACAAGTAGAATGGAAAGAAAATATTATAGAAGCTTGGTTAGACCATGTCAAAGAAATTATATGCAATGGAAACGAAAAGGTTTATGAGTATATCTTATGTTGGTTTGCAAACATCTTACAACATCCAAGTGCTAAAAATGAAACTGCTCTCATTATAATTGGAAAACAAGGAACAGGTAAGAACACATTCTTTACAGATATCTTATGCAAACTGTTAGAAGGTTATTCGAATCCGAATATGACAAACTTAGAAAACATCTGCGGTAAATTTAACTCTTCAATAGAGAATATGAAACTTATAGTTTGCAATGAACTTCAAAGTATAGATACAACAAAGGTTTTGAACTCAGATGCTTTGAAGAGTCTTATAACAGACAAAGTTGGAGTTGTTGAAAGAAAATATAAAGACCAAAGAGTTTGTGAAAATGTTGCAAATTTCATTATGGTTTCAAACAACGCTGTTCCGATGAAGTTAGAAAGTTCTGACAGAAGATATGTAGTTGTCAGAACGTCAGATTCTCATATGCAAGATACAGAATATTTTGACGACTTAGCAGAAACTTTGACATCTGACTTTTACAACCACTTGTTCTCATACTTTATGACATTAGATATTTCAAAGTTCAATCCAAGACAAATTCCACATACCGAAGAGAGACAAACATTGTTAGAAGCAAACAAGAGTGTATATGAACTGTTTATAGATGAGACTAACTTTGAGTGTTTAGATGAAAGGTCTTTATATGATGAATATAAACAATATTGTCAAGAGTATGGTTATATGACAGCGTCTAAACGAACATTCTTGGCAAATGTCAAAAATCTTTTAGATGTTCAGAACGGCGTATATACAAAGAAAAATTTTTCTGAGTAAATTTTAAAAAAAATATTTTTTTATTTTTTTGAAATGTACGCTGAGTTTGTTGGAGAAGACCGTTGGGAAACTTGTTTGTTAGATGAGAAATATGAAATTCACTGTTGTGAGTCATTTGAAGTCAGAAACAAAAAGACAAAAAGAGTTTTAAGCGAATGGGAGCAAAATAAAGGATATGCTAGGATGAAGATGGGTGGAAAACACTATTTAAAACATGTTGTCATTGCAACTCATTTTATACCGAACCCTAACAATCTACCTTTTGTAGACCATATAAACCGTATAAGAAACGACAATAGACTTGAAAACTTGCGTTGGGTCACTCGTTCTGAAAACAATAAGAACAAAAGCAAATTTCGAGATATTGTATTCGAATTTGTCGACG